ACCAAGAATTATAACGCACGTGCACAGCCATTGTACTGCTCATTAATTCTCAGTGACGTTCCCGTTGCCGTTGCCGTCGTGGTTTCGTAAACTACCTATTATATGCGTGACGCATACACTGTCCTATTTGTGCTAAATCAGCCCAGCTGGTAGCCAATTAGAATCGATATATTTTTTTATAGTTTTGATTAAAACAGAAATAAACAAATTAATGATAAAACCTGAATAACAAGAAGTGTTTGTAAAGCTGTGTTTATTCGAAGCCATCGAGATGTTTCTGACAAGAATATTACACTCCCAGTAGTTAGTTTATTGTCAATTTTCACTCGTGAATTTGTGCGGTCGGGAATCCTCATGCGATATAAGGCGAGATTGCTGTCATCATTTTGTTAGCGAATGGGACTTAAAGCGCGATGCCCAACGAGTTTGCCAAGCAGAAAGGTCTCTGATGAGTCCCTTGGCCGGGACGAAACGAGCTGCGTAAGACTATTCACGAACAATTTATTATCACAAAACGTCCAAGCAAGAGTTTCATCTGGCTGCTAAATTTGGCAGCAGACGCAAGTTCTCCTGTATGGCGAATCCCCCGAGTACTTTTACAGATAGTGACTTTAAGGGCCTGTTTACAAGGAGGGAGGGTTACCCTAGCAAGCCGATTAACCCTAGCTGGAGGGCTAAAGATAGCCCGGGTTTACAAGCAAAATTTCACAGGTAGGGTAACCCTACAACCCGGGACAACGTAATGCGCGGTTACACTCAAAGGGTCTGGAAACAACAAGAAAGTTATGCAGGGTAGGCGGGTTAACCCTACCGGAAGTGTTTATAGGGGAAAAAGTTACCCGCCTGCCAGGGTAACCCTAGCACGCAGATAGGGTAACCCGTCTACCAGGGTGACCCCAGCTGCCTTGTAAACACGACGAAGGAAAAAAGAGGAAATGTGTGAGTGCTAGGGTAACTATCTCTCCTTGTAAACAGGCCCTTAAATTTACCTACTAAAGGTAATTGAATTTTCGCAATTCGGCTTTAAGGGGGAATAGGCTAAAAGAGGAAGGCAATGTTTGATGATATCTAAGCTCGGAAATGCGCTTGCGCTCCAAATTCGCTTGAGTGAAAGTTTCAATTCGCTCAACCGTGCAGCGGAGGTACGATTTCTCAACCCTCCAAGGGACAAACATTTGGTTCCAGATCATGTGCACCGAACTTCTTAGATCGTTAAATTCATGAACGTTACAGCAACAGCCGTTAGCACCACCATTGTGCATTTTCTTACTGGGCGATACATGACAACGGGATGAATTGAAAATAGACCTTAAATGTGTTAATAGTTTAAAAGTTCGAGTTATCGAGGGTCCCCACTGAAAGGCAAAAATTGGTTCGAGACTGAGACGAGTTAGCAAGGGTTCGGGAATTCGGGATAAAAAAAAGAAACCAAGAGCTATATCTGTCGATTCCATCGTCTGGGTAGCTCCCTAGCCCTGGGCATAAGACATTTGAATTTTTAGATGGTCAAATTCCTATTACCCGGACAAAATATTGTTCAAATGCCCCACCTTGGAGTCATGATAAGCGATAAAATGCTCCAATCCTCGGGACATACACAGAAAAAAAAATGGTGGAAAAAAAGCTCACCCTCGAACGACCGTTTCCAGCTTTCAAAGCATGTGCCAAGGATAATTCTTTTATTTAACAACTATTCTCCGGAGGCGAAGTGAACATTTAGCAATTATTCCACGAGCGTGCGTTGGATATGAGATGGTAGATAGCCCGCAAGGGGTAGAGCACCGTTTATTGCCATTCCAAACGAATACTTAAAGGCTAATTTCGGCTTGAAGTGAGCTGATTCTTGACTCCGTGTCAGTTAAATTGTTTGTTGATTGGATTGCTGCAGGTTATGAAAACAGGGCACAGTCAGTTTTTTAGAAATGTTTTTAGAAGTCAGGTAACATATGATATGCCAAGTTATGTAAATGAGAACTTGAGAGTGATTATTTCTGAAAGAGTTGTCGAGTTAAGTAACTGTTAACACGTTGAGAGTAAAACAGTAATTAGTCACCCAAGGAGAAGTCAATTAACAGTGGTGAATATTTACCCAGGCGAATGCGAGGTAAATATCTGCCGCGTAGATATTTACCCAGGCGGATCCGCGAGTAAATGTGAATATTTAGTATCAGCTGTTACGTAGAGCATTGAGCTTGTAGAAACATACGTTTTTCACTGTGTTCATTTTGTGTGGATTTAAATTTTTCTGTATCGGATCTGAAAAGGTTTTACCAGTCATATCTTTAGAAAGTTGTAAACACTGTTTTACAATGTCACAGTCAATGTTAAGACTTATCTCCTGAGTTTATTTCTGTCGGACGGCGAAATATAGGTAAGCTTGCTTAAGGTAAGGCAAGGTGAGGTAAAGCATTTAGCTGATGTGCTCGTGTTTAAAAAATTAAAAAAAACTAGCTAAGAGACTATGTAAAAGGTATTTACAAAGAACAGAACTATTGATTACAATACAATATACAACTATAGAACAAGAAAAAAGATTTAAAAGCTAGATCCGCATTCAAAAACTGTAAAATTTACTCCTAGCAGTTGTTCGTACAAATATGCATGGTGTGCTTCTTTCTTGCGACCTCGTCCTTCTTCAATAGGCCACGTTCGATATATCAATATTCTAACATGGCTCCGAGGCTTTCAGGACAAAATTGCAATTCTTTTTTTAAAGTTTCTTTTGTCTCTCAATTCCCAAAAGAGACTTGGATACAAAGAAAGTAACACCAAATATAGAAGTTTGTCCTGAAAGCCTCGGAACCGTATCAAACGTGGACTATGCATGGTTGACATCAGTTTTTCATAGATACCTCGGACCTTTTCACCGCACAGCACAGTAGAATAGGACGAGAAATGCAATTATAAAGGTTATTAGTATTTATTCTGATTATTAGTACGTGGCATTAAGCGAAGATGAAGGGAAGAGAGCTAGTCCCCTACACAGGCTACTTCCCCAAGTAGCCAATCCCGTGAGGCGAATTTTACTCACAGAAAAGGCTAAGAGATTTACAAGTTAATTTTCCACGAAAACATCTAGGCAACGCGCGTGATATCATCTGCAGGAGGACTGGATACCACAGTCGAGCATATCGAAAAATAACTTAAGGTGGCTTAAAACAGTTTCCAGTACTTCCGAAACTTAAATTTTAATGGGTCATTATAACCACTCTTTATTACATGATGCTACAATCATGGAATCAAAAAACTGCCCAATCATTGGTGAACACGTTGTCATCATTCCCGTGACACAATAGGTTACCATAGCAACAGTATAACCTGCTAAAACACCCTCAAATGATCTCAGATATTGGCTCTCTCTCCTGCAATAGTCACGTGATATATAATTTGATCTGTCAATGTTCTTGAGTGATATTTTAAACATTTAGTGAGCCTATGAAAGGAAAGCAGACGGCACTTTGCTGGCTTGAATCGACTACAGGTCATCAGATGATTAAACAAAACAAGAGTTTTGTTTGTTTCATACGTAACACCTGATTGGGCAAAACACTAGGAAGTTTCCTATTCTGACTTTAGACGTTTCCAAGGTGGAAGTAAATGTTGAGATCTGCGTTAACAGGGGATGACAAACGGCCCAAATTAACAATTTAAATTTCGTATCCAGTCAACAGCCGCTAATGCTAAAAAATACTTTTAAAAGCAAAAATTGAATCCTGCGATAATGGGTCATTTGCATGTTTTTATTAATAACCGAGAAGAAGATAAGAATTCAATGGTGCCGAGTCTTGTCGTGTTGAAATGAATTAGGCGAGATTTTAAGATATATTGCGACCATTCTCAAGCGTTTCACCATCCCGGCTCGAGCTTCCACATAGAAGCATCAACATCCCCCTCCGGACATTCCCCTGGCATTTGACCAGCTGAGGTGCCTCACGGGGGCAGCTGGATTTTCGACGTGTGTAGATGATAGTGGGGTGGGAATTTTGACGCCATATGGGAGATTAAGAAGTTGTCACATAAATCATGGTGACGCTGGAAGACATCAAGAGACAACACCGTCCTTTGTAACATTGTGGCTCGAAAGAAACGATCTTGAAACGGATCTGTACTTGGTTTGAAGGTAGATATAAACAGTTTTAATCAATTTAAACACTTTCACTGGTTAATGATAGAAAATGACTTGCCAAATTTTGAATTAAAAATCCTATGAAGCCTTTGCTTATTTTCTTCTTCGATTGTCTTTCTTTTAGCCCATCCACTTTCTTGTTACTTTAAGTTGCGAGAATTATATTTTTAAAAATGGTTCTTAGAATCTCCAACTGACTTTTTTAACGGCGACCCGAGTTTGTTCTTTTTTGCGGACGGATGACGGGCTGAATACCCCCTCTGGATATATAAGCGTTCTCCGTGATTAATATTTGTTCGAAAATGAGTTTTTGATTTAATAGCCATTGATTTAAGGGGACTTCGTTCTGAACTTTTCCATAGAAATTTAGTTTTGATAAAGAAGAAAGGCACCGAACACTTCAAATAGCGTTTCAATATTTTTCCTCCAAGGTTGTCAAAAATTCTTTTCTTTGCGTCGTATTTTAAGTGCATATTATTAGTGTTTGCCTGATATACATGTATTACTTGTAAAGTTGACAAAAAAAAAAATGATGAGTTCGGCAAATTGGCAGTGATTTGCATGATCATGCACGATTGCAATAAAACTTGCAGATACCAGCAAACTTCAGAAGCCTGAGCCAGCTGTGGTCGAATTTCAAAATTATGAGGATTTTTTGTAAACATGAGGTTCAAAAATATACTTTAATATGGGACGTTTTAACCCCGGTAAGAAAGAAAAACATTTCCTTTAAATTCAAATATTTTCATCTTGGAGGACAGAAAAAAACAAAACTCATAAATTATTCCTGCCAAAATGAGCAACACCAGAATGTGGTTGAATTTTTACGGGGTCCATAGAAAGGTGATAAAAGAAAATATGTTTTCTCTTACAGTGTAATTATTCTTGAACACACGGGAATCAAGCAGAGGTTTACAAACAGTAAGCAGAACCGAGTGAATTTCCTTGGAAATGGTTTTTATGGTGTAGCCTGCCAAAGTTGAAAGTGGTGTATTTCAGTACCTCGGTGATTTCCGAGAAACTCAGCGACATGTCTGTATTTCGATGGATCAGACCAACCAAGCTACTGAAATCAAAGCGGCTCTGGATATTGTTGATTCTTGCGCTCTCTTCAGTCGGTGTCTATTTGTTTGGCTTATCAACGCAGCCTTATGAATTAAATGAAATACATGTACAACAACCTATAGCGACAGAACAAGATTTTGCCGAGCAAACGGCACGGGTCGATGATAAAGAAAAAACAGCGCGGAAAAACCTCATCATTGTGTCGCATGGCCGCTCGGGATCCACCCTGACAGGCGATATTTTCAACCACCATCCTTCTGTGTTTTACATGTACGAGCCATTACAAACGCCGAAGCGAATTCAGAAAAAGAAAACGATTAATGATTCGGGATACAACAGTCTCGCTACAGAGTTTCTGACCGGCGTATTTCGCTGTAAGTTCGAAGACCCAGATATCTTGGATGACATTGAGGGGTATTACCGAAAACCCGAGCATCCACGCATAAGCCAGTCTATCGGATCGCCTCCATTGTGTCCTTATCAGATGACAGACCCAAAATGGAGTCCGAAGCATTGCGTGCCCATGACTAACGAGGTATTGGGAAGTGCTTGTAAGGACGCTTATGATTTAACCGTTCTGAAAATTCTCATGTGGCGCATTCCTAAGAATAGCATCGAGACCATTTTGACTGCTTGCAGTGCCCCAGATGTCGACTGCAAGGTTATCTTTCTAGTAAGGGATCCCCGCGCCATGATCCCGTCCTCGAAAAAAATCGGCTTCTTTGGAGAACAAGGACCTCCGAACGCTTACTTAGGAACGCGACTCTACAGTCAAGAGCGATGTGCACAAACAGAGGAAAACCTGGAGTTGGTCAGACGTTTACCAGATTCACTAAGGGATCGGATCAAGCTTCTTCGATATGAGGATCTGGCAACAAACCCGCTCAAGGTGCTGGCAGACATTTACGAATTTGCTGGGTTACCTGTGTTGGAGAGCGTGCGCACTTGGCTGAACAAAACCACGCGCTCAAGTAGGAACGCCTGTAATTATCGGTTGGACGGAGGCCCAGTCACGTGCACTAAGGATGATGCATGGGCCGCAGCAAATCGATGGAGATGGACTGCACATTTGCAAGAAATTAATATTATTGAACGCTACTGTGGACGCGTGTTAAGTCTTATGGGATACAGGCCAGCGAATGGGTCCAATGAGCTGCTGACAAACCGGAAGATTGCACTCTTTAGTGATGACTATGAAGCTAAACATTGGTTCTTACATTGAACTAAATTTACGCGACTCTAGCTACTGGTTACTACTGATAAAAAATAAAAATATACTAGGTAACTTTAATTTAACTGTCGAATGTATTTAGCGCTGTTGAGCTGTAAATAAATAAACAAATATTTCAAATATAATATAAACTATTAAGAATCCCAACCGGTGGGAGGATGACCAATTGGCTGTTACTTATAAGAGATAGTCTAATTCTGTAGCCACTTCGTCAAAGGAGAAGATGGATTCCAGGTGAACCTACACTTCTACGCGCATGCATAAACTCATTTTACGCGAACTTGCACTCCAAATGGGACTAATTATCTCCTAATTTCCATACCACGGAAGCTGGAACGTCTAAAAGAAACAAAGCGCCTAGAGAATTTGCCCTTTTTGAAAATTAACTAATCGCCCTAGGCTCCGACATAGAGCCGATATATCGTATTTTGCTGCATCGTTATCTTGTAATTAACCAAAAGGCGGTGTTTACAATGATAACTAACCTCTGCAGTGCTTTCTTTACTCTATAAGATGAACTTAACTCCAGGTCCCAGTTGTTCGAAAGGTGGATAACGTTATTCGCCGACTAAACCACTATGTAGTGGATTAGTGTTAACAAAACAAACCACGCTATCCGCTGGATAGTGATTTATTCGATGGATAGCGTTATCCACCTCGTTTCGAACAACCCGGGCCAGCTGTTTTGAGTGCTTGTTTTCCCCGAGTAGGTCGACTCCAGGTCATACTTATTTGCCCCCTGAGCATCCCATAATAGCTATTTGAAATTGTTAGAATTCAAAATGGCCGCCGCGCGTATTGCCGAAAAGGTCCATTACACTTAATCATTATTGTACTTCACCTCGATAAACAACTGCAACTCTTCTTACGACATGCATTTTTTTTGTTGGTGTACGGAACGTTAATGAAGAAATGTTCGAATTATTCATTTGAAATTGCAAATGTTACGTGGGTATAAAGTTGTATAAGTGGCTGAATACAGGAATAACTGATCAGTCAATCGGAAAAGACCGTAAAAAATTAACATTTCACAACATCTCTTTTTAAAATTCCACCTTAGAAGGTTCTCCTCTCTGGCGCTTATTGGTCTACACACTACAAAAAATATTCTTTCAATCTAGCCCCTAGCTACTAATGCCTAGCTAGTAACGTTGCTTGCAACAATATAAATGATCAAACTGCAGTCGGGGAATATACCCTGTGGTTTAATGATTTTTATTAGCAGCATTGGTTCACACACCCAACAGCAGGAGCAAACTAAACGAACAAATTTTGTTCCACACATGACAAGAGGCGGTAAATACAAATACGCAGGGGGGATCAAAGGGGGTGGATTGGGTGGCTAGCCACCCCGCTATACGACAGCCCACCAAAAAATATGTAATACGTGGAAAAACAAACGGAAATACGTGGGTCCTCCAAAAATGTAGAAATTCGTTTCAAGAATTTAATTGTGGTGTTTCAGTCTCTAAATTTGTCCTTTCGTGTGCCCAGCTATAACAGCAAATGCATCCAGCGATTCATTCGAGACCAACAAACTACAGCTCTAGCAAACTTTTCAGATTACATTTCAACTACCTTAACGAAATCATAATCATAAAGAGAATTTCAAAATCCATTAAATTTGTACGTCCAAACTACTCGACTTTTTTCTGTAAAAATTGGGAAAACGCTCGTCAACTTACGAATCGTAAGTTCATGACGGACTGTCAGGGGTATGGACTCCGGGGGGGATATACTCCCTTATATTGGCTATATAAGTATGTGCGGCCCCAAAGCCGTATGGTTTTTCAAGAATTTTGGTCATAAATAGGGTATCGATTTTAGCCATCTTGGTCATAAATAGTTTTTTTTTTTGCACTGCATCTAGTCTTGAATTGGGTATGTTGTTTTAGAAGAAGCTACTTTTTCATCATTATCGATAAGATCGATCAACAAAGCCCTTCACGATGCCTTTAACATCGGTCTGAACTAGGGAAATGAGTATAAGGCAGGTCCCGAAGAGGATATTGAATTAGGGTCAGGTCATAAATGGGGTATCGAATTTTTGGTCAGGTCATAAATAGGGTAGGGAGAATCGCACATTTGGTCATAAATAGGGTAAGGGTTTTGGGAAGCGGGTTGCAAAACACCCCCACCCCATTTTCTCGGAGTACCCCCTTCGGGGTTTGGGGGAACAAGGGAGACCATTACCTTTTAGAGAACAAGGGATATCTTGAAATGACTTTTAGGAAACAGGAGATCTGTTGAATTTTTCAGGGAACAGAGCAACATTGATTTTCTAAAAGAACAGATTTGGAACTCCTCACTGGTTTGTCGCTTTGATTTTGACTTTCTTGGAGCCAGTGATTTTCTGGCTTGAAAGAATACTATGTTCGTATACTTTCATTATGAAGGCCCTATTTCCCTTATAGGGAAAATGACGTGGTGATGAACAAGGGAACATGACCCCCCTTCCTCCCCCCTGATAAGCTCTCACTTATACCCACAATCCTGGTCACAAGTGTTGGGACAGTTTATAGCAGATGACTTCACAGGCAGCATCTCTTAAGACCAAGACCGCGTAAGCCCGCCTACCCCCCTACCCCTGTCAATGTTTATAAAAATATTGAAAACAAAAAAAAAAAACACTCTTGATAATAGCTTCAGAATAGCCACGTTTCAAGAATTGTTTGCCTCCTAGAGCAATCTTCTCCAACTAAAGTGACGATGACATAGATATCCACGTCTTATTGCAATAATAACGATTTTTCAGCAATCACGTTCGCTTCCAACACAACCGTCTAACCACTTTCTATTGTCCCTTTTTCTTTTTTAACACCATCCAATCTACTCTTCAGAATAGCTTCATTTTCTTTTAACATTGCTCGGGGGGAGGGGGGTCAATTATACTTGCTTCTATTCATCTTTCCCTAAAACGTCAAGGAAGTAGTTAAAATCGTGGGTTTCTGCTCGCAAAAGGGAGGTGTCCCAACAACTTATGGCCAGAGTTGCAGAGGTAACTTAATAAATGATACACATACAAACATATCTGTTCGGTGATTGACAGAGAGCATGCCAATTAATCCAAAATACAGTGCAGAAAGTTGAAATTCAGTGCAAAATTTGAATTGCACTGAAGTTGAAATTAACAACAAAACAAGACGGTGGCCATGCTAGGCCGGATAGAAAAGACCTTACTTTTGCTTCAAAGGTTTAAGGATATAATGCAAAGAACAAGCGAAGACTGTCGCGAAGCAGATTTTGTGCCGGGCTCAACAGCGTAGAATTTATTGAATATCTTCGTCAGGCTTACATAGGTTTTCAAAGATTTCAGGTTTTCCTCTAGTCTTCTGACAAGTCAAGTTGGCATAAGTTGCACTCATATTTATGTCAGAAAAAGCTAATTTACTAAAAGTAACTAAATCAAATATCTTTGTTATATGTATAAAATAGGTGATTTCAGCTGTTGGAGTAGCCCAAAATAAGAGATTGCATCATCATATCTCGGTATCTTTGCTTCTGCAAAAATTTCTAAATTTAAATTTAAACACACGGATTGAGAACAAAGGATCTCGGAGGTGTTAGAAATGAAGAGGTCAGCAAGATTTTAAAATAATAAGGTTCAGGAAACTCTTCATTGTACATCATTTTGTGAACGCGATACAACCTGAAGTAATTTTTTTTCTTTAAGGATATCGCCTCTCAGGAGGCACGCCAGCTGAAATCACGTTTCCGGATGTAATGTTAATTAGCTACTGTTTGTTTCCTGAATGAATGTAACGTAAATGCCAACGAAAATAGAGTTCGTTGAAGTTTAGTTGTTTGTGGTAATTTAAAGATTAAAGTAAACCTTAATAAAAATTGCAAAAACACGTGTTTTGTAGAATATGTTCAGCTAAATCGTCGTTTCTCAGAGTTAAGCCATAGGATTGAAGTTACGTTAAGTCGTGCGAAGACATTACTAATCGTTAATTAAACTTAAAACAATCGACATATTCCAGAATATTCAAATGAGCAGTTCTAACATGGTTCTGGTACTGTAAAATCTTTTGTAAGCCAAAACAGATGGAACACATCAATTGAAAAACTATTGAAACAGGTCTAGCCACGATCAACACACAAAACTCACATATTATAGATAAGAATATACTGAATAAATATTACCAATTATGCAAAAGTAAATAAACCACAAACTAGTTTCCTTTACTATTTTTCATGTTTTCTTCTCCTTTAGTATTCGATTGTCGGTTCAGCTAGTTAGTATTAGCAGACAACGGAGCTCCGAACTTTCCGTATTTTTTCCCTTTGATAATTTTCACGATAAGTCCTGGCTAAAACTATCCCTTAACAGTTGTTTACACAACACCAAGATTTAGTAAATACCCTTAATTAATAATGGGTTTAATTACTCGAAAAAGAACTCAAAATAATAAAAATAGGCAAATCCTCTCCTACAAGCAAACAGACGTACTGAAAGAATATCAGGGATTATCATATGGCTATGTCTCACAAGGACTGGGAACTACCGAATTCAGGAATTTGATTGGCTGAAATCGGTATTGAAAGTGGTCTAGATTTTCCCATCTAGACCGACATCTAGACCGGTAATGTTTTGAGGTGTAAAGTTGCAGACTAAAATGCAAAAATGTTGACTTTTTTCTTCTAACAATATTTATTTATGGAAGTGCCAAAAAGCCTGATTAGAAAAAAAAAAGTAAAGAGGACAAGCAAACTTTGGCAGATTTTACTTCAGCTCATCGCCGTTCGCAAGCAAAATGTCAGCTAATACAAACCAGGTACATTAAACGAATTAATTTCTTCTTGTTTGCCAATAATAAACATCTTATCAACCGAGCTTAGTCGGTCTGTATTCTCTATTTTCCAATTGCTCATAATTTACTCTGTTTGCCCCCCAAATTTTGCATAAACTATTGCTGTGAAATTCTCTTGGGAGGTCTGCATATTCCCAAGAGCATTTCATAACAATAATTTATGTAAAATTTGGGGGGCAAACAGAGTGCATTATGGGCAATTGGAAAATAGAGAATGGGAGAATCTTGACCTCGGTCGTGTGTACAGACCGAACGCAGTGAGATCTGTATTCACGACCTGCATATTATTAGCAGGCGTGGTTATTGTTACCCTTTGAGTTTACTAGCCTTATTCACTCCAAATTGCACTCAAAATCTTGTCTGGAGTAGAGAACTTCATTAGCAAGTTCCATCTAGCTCACTTAAATGCTTGAAGCGTTTGTTTCTGTTACTATCTTACTCTTGTTTTCGCCCATATTAATCTTCGCAAATTAAAAACTCGAAATTCTAAAAAGGGTCGCGACAAAAAAAATATACCCTCGATAGAAATGTTACCACACATAAATGAAATAACGAAAACAAAATATCTACTAAAACCAAAAAAATATCTATATGCTGAGCAAGTATTACCTTAGTTAATGATTTGTATTAACGAACCACTGAAATGTTACACGTCTCACACGCACTCAGTGACAGCATTCCGCTGTTCAAGTCAGCCAGTGTTTGTTAACAAAATTCTCCTTTTTTAGCTCGTATCTTGCTGAAGGCTGAGTTGAGACTCTTCAAAATTTAAATCTTAACTTCCTAAGTACTAAGGAGGTTACCAAGATTACGGTAAAAGACTCCAGCTTTTCAAACGCGCCAGTCCTTCACAGTTCTTTTTCATTGTTTCATGGCTAGCTGAAACGTGGAAGGGAGCCGGCTTTTACTGTAGTGTACCTGAAGTCATGAACCAAAACAAAAACATGATGACATTGGAAGATAAAGGTAAGCAAAACTGTGTTTAATATAAGTTCGAAAGTTAAGGTGGACCGCAACACTTTGCATTTCTGGTGGATGATGCTATCTCAGGCCAAAACAAGTAAACTAATTAAAGCATTTATTTGTAAATTTGTATTTGCAGTTTTAATTTTGTATGTATACTTGTGGTTATATTATAATTTGTGCTTGTATTTGTTAATATAGAATTACCGTCGTAACGTTAGATCAGAGATACCTAATTTGACCATTTTCAGGCTAAAACTCAAAATCTGTTCCTGAAAGTTCTCTTTTGCCGTATATCGTTTTCCTTGAGGACATAACAGGCCAGTGACGAATCTAGGAGAGGGGCCCTGGGAGGGGCCCCCTTATTTTGGGTAAAACAAATCGCAGAAGGAAGAAAAGCCAGCAGGGCAAGCAAAAAAGAAAACAACCGCCCCCGCCCTCTTAGCTCAAGGTCTGGATCCGCCACTGCAGGCGTTCTTAAAATGTTGTTAAATAGCCCTTTTCACGGTTAATTTTTCTCATTTGCATTACAATGTAATCCAACGTGGATGCGAGGCAATTTAGGGCTAAAACTACAAAATAGCCCGAAATTGTCCCACATACATGCTAGATCTTATTGTAATGCAAATGAGCAAAGGTAACCGTGAAAAGGGCTGTTGTATGTGGAAGCCTTTGACTGGAAAGTAATGCCTGTCACTGTCATACATACGTTACAGAATTCTACTGAAACGCATTCGAAAAAGAACTTTCCGAACGAGGTATCACAAATACGAGCAATGGCAAACTCAAAAAATTTTAATTATTAGTTGCAACGATTTTTGGAAAGCAAGTCCTAAGAATAAATGTTGCCCTCTATTTCTATACACAGTTGAACCCCGTTAATCCGGTCACCCACGGGCCACAAAAATCTGACCGTGTTAACGGGGTGGTCGTATTAAAGGGGTTATTTAAATAAGAAAATGACTGACTGAGCTTGTTTTTGGGGCCAGAATAAAGTGGCCGTGATAACGAGGTAGCCGTAAGGTGGAGTTCCACTGTATATAGGAACGAATAATATTTAAAATAAGCTATTCAATGCTAATTATTTTGATTCAAGAGCGTTATTGAAAGGTTTTCCTTAAAGACTGGTCGTAAGCAATTCCTCTAACAGATTTTATCGTGTTTTATTGTTTCTATTTTGTCAAAACGTTAATTTACTAAGAATGAGACATCGCCTTAGAAATTGCCAGAAAGAAGGGCCATACGTAACGAGTTTTGCTTTCAGCACAAATGGAAATGAAATAAAGAATTGCAATAAACAGTATCAGACGTTTTTGAAGATTAAAAGTCTACTTACGATTCTCTAGATTATTCCTTCAGTTCTCCAAACTGGAACGCGACGTCATCGCCAATCAGTACAAATGGTGCCCAGTACTTCACTGCGCTGAACCTCTCTGAGTTTCTGAGACATTTTATAGCCTGGTCAAGAGCCAAACAAGCGCTTTCTCCATCTCGCAGCTGTCGATAAAAAAATCGCATGAACTCCATGGTGGCTTCGTCGTCAATTGCCCAGAGTGACACCAGAACAGAACGAGCACCAGCTCCTATAAAAGCACGTGCTATACCGACCACACCCTCAGCAGTTATCTTCCCTTTACCACTGTGGCAGCAGCTAAGCACGACAAGCTTGGCTGTCAGCTGAACAGCTTGCACTTCATCCATCGTTAACATGTAGTCGGCTCTTTTGGGGATCTTGGATGTCCATCCGGGATTTGGCGCCAATGCTAGATCGCCGCTTTCTGCATTTCCGTGTGTGGCAATGTGTACTAGAGACACTGAGGTCATTCGTTTTAGCACTTCTTATTTAGTTGCTTCTGCTCCTGTGAGAGGTGTGGTATTTAAGATTTCACCAATCATCGTGACTTCATCTCTGGCGTACGGCAACTGTGCCAAAATGGGCTTGCCTCCCTTGGTTATTTCTTTTAAATTTGGATCGCCCACCAGCAGGACCCCACTCGTTTCGTGAAAGCTTTCAGGAGACTCTGCAATCAACTTAATAGTTGTTAGGGAGGGAAGAATGCGGATCCTGAGAGATTCACTGAGGTATCTGGAGTCAGCCGGATCAACAAAGGCGGCATAAGGAACCAAGCCTAATGGACCATCCGGAACAATAATGACTTCTTCACCTTGGAGTAAGTCTTTAATAGGACCGACAACAAAATCGTGTAACTGACGCAACGAATTGCCGTCACAGTGTGATGAATCTAATGCCTGTTTTTCAAATTGCTGATCATCATCACCTCTCAACCCATCCAACGAACGATCCTCGCATTTAGCAGCACCACGGCCAAGTTCGTTTTCCTGGAAAGCATTCTTCAAATCCTGTACATAAGTAGCAGCGTCATCCATTGCACATCCATCCTCTACTTCCTTTTGACGAAAAGTAACCTCGTGTCCTTTGTTCAGTACCCAGAAATTGATTGTGTCACCTTGGAGTGCTAGAAAAACTGTCTGTGTGGATATATCTCTTAATATATCAGAAATACTAGCTTCCACAAGTTGAGATGAGACCGAAGGTAGCATCGTAAAGCCATACTGTAACTTCAGTAGATCAATCAGACCTTGTGCTCTTCCTTGCTCGGCTGCGTACAACGCCTCTTCCATGTCGCCATTCTTCAGAAGAGTTCTCCACAGGGCACTGTACGCATCTTCATTTCGATTACGAAAGCTAATTTTCCATTGATCTTCAGACTGAAGAAGAGCTCTGATTTCGTTATAGACCTTCACACTCGATCTATAACATTTGAGAGCCTCGCATAAAGAAGGTAAGACTTCAAAATCACGACCAAGAGAATAATAGGCCCGTGCTTGTTCAACCGCATTACCCGTTTCGTCTGCAATGGCGAGAAGCTGCCTGTGGTACTCTACAGCTCGGTTATAATCACCGAGACGAAAGAAAGCATTCCCAACATTGCCGTAGCAAGTTCCTTCACCAGCTCTGTCTTCCACTTCTCTAGCAATGCCAAGATGAAGACTGTGGTACTCTATAGCTTTTCTGAAATCACCGAGGCTGTGATAAATATTGCCAAGATTGCCATAGGCGATTCCTTGACCAGCCCTGTCCTCAATATCGTTGGAAATCCTTAGGTTTTCGCGTTGGTGCTCAGCGGCTTTGTCAAACTCACCCTTATTTTGATAGGCAAGTCCAAGATTGCAATTGGCACGTCCCTCGCCAGCCCTATCTTCCAGTTCTGAGGCTCTGCAAAGAGCCTTCTTTTGGTACCAGATGGCGAGGTCAAAATTACCAAGACTGTTATAGGCAGCGCCGAGATTTTCATAGGCACGTCCTTCTTGAGCCTTATCTCCTATTTCTTGTGAAATGCTAAGGCATTGTTTGTGGCACTCTATAGCTTGCTTAAAGTTACCGAGGTTACGATAAATACATCCAAGATTGCCGTAAGCACTTCCTTCTCCAGCCTTGTCCCCCACTTCTGAGGCAATAAAAAGATACTTTTCCAGGTACTCAAGGGCTTCTTTAAAATCACCGAGGCCGCTATAAGCAATTCCAATATTGCTGTACGAACGTCCTTCTCCAGCCCTGTCTCCCAAATCTTTGTCAATAGCAAGTCCTTCTTTGTGGCACTCAATGGCTTGTTTAAAGTTGCCAAGACTATGGAAAGCATTTCCAAGATTGCATTTGGCCCGTGCTACCCCAGCCTTGTAGCCCAGTTCTATGGCAATATTAAGATCTCGCTGGTGGTACTCGATTGCTAATTTAAAATCCGCGAGGCTATGATAACAATTTCCTAGATTGCCATAAGCACGCCCTTCTCCAGCCTTGTTTCCCACTTCTTTGGCAATATCTAGACTCTTCGTGTGGCACTCAATCGCTTGGGTGATATCACTTTGTTCCTGGTAAGCACCGCCGAGGTTGCAGTAGGCGCTTCCCTCTCCAGCTCTGTCTCCCAATTCTTTGGCGATGTCAAGACTCATCTTGTGACATCTGATAGCTTCCTTAAAATCGCCCAGATTGCTATAATCACTACCAAGGTTGGAATAGGCTCCTCCTTCTCCAGCTCTGTCCATCGTTCGCTTAGCAATATCGAGGCTAAGCTTGTGATAATGCATAGCTTTTTTGAATTCACCGAGCCTGTTATAAGCATTGCCGAGACCGTTGTAGGCAGCTCCTTCACCATCCTTATTTGCCATTTCTTTTGCAACAGCAAGGTGTTTCATGTGGTACTCTATGGATTTCCTAGAGTCGCCGAGTTGTCCAAACGCAATGCCGAGATTTGCATATGCACCTCCTTCTCCATCTCTGTCTCCCAATTCCCTGAAAATTTGAAGACTTTGCGTCTGGTACTCTATAGCTTGTTTTGAGTCACCGGTACAATCATAAGCGTTTCCAAGGTCTCTATATGCCGCTCCTTCTTCACCTCTATCCCCTACTTGTTTGGCTATGGCAAGTTGCTTTGTGTGGCACCCTATAGCTTGTTTAAAGCTGCCAAGAGAGCGATAAACTCTTCCCAGGCTTCCATAGGCAAGTCGTTCTCCGGCCAAATCTCCCAACTCTCCGCTAATTCTAAGATGTTGCTTGTGACACTCCATGGCTTGTTTCAAATCACCAAATCTACCATAAATAATTCCAAGATTATGACAGGCACGTCCCTCTCGAGATCTGTCACCCACTTCTTTTGCAATCTTGAGATGTTGCTTGCACTGCTCTGTAATCTCCGAAATTTTGTCTTCCATTTTGGCGTCATATGGTTTTACCCTGTAGAATTGATTGCAGACACAATAAGTGCTTTATTTCTGTTGCCATGAAAGTTGAAAAGCTCCAACATATTGAAATAATTAAAATTAATATTTCAGATTGATTTTCTGAATTTCTCCTTGATATTTAATAAATTGACGTCGGTTTTTAAAGCCTCTGTCCTGTTATTGATCATGAATTTCGTCATAACATTGTCAAAGTAGTTGTAGATCCACGAAGAGATAATTGCACTTTCATCATCTGCCTTTTTCCTGTGTGAACGGGAAGTTATTTTCATTTTTCTGTTGGACTGGCAAGACTAGTAGAAAAGTAAACGGACTAAAACATGCAATTATTTGAGGTAACACTTAAATCAGGTGAATGATATTTGATAGAACGCCTTTACTTTTGGCGGTTGGTTGAGTCGTCTGTTAATTGTTCATCATCATCATCATCATCATCATCAT